GGGCCCCTTTGGCAGTAGGAAACACATAGACTATTATGGAGATTGATTTTGGAATTTAGATGCACTCTTATTGATTGTGCTTGGCCGTACATGTTCATATACTTGAAGATGTATCATGGGGGTGTTACAACCTTGTCTTGTTCCAGATTGCTAGTTGTCATAGACAGAATGTCTAACCATCCATTCCTTTCAGATAGTCCTTCCCTTCACCTATTCCAGTGTAGTGTTCTTTAACTACCCATTCTTTTCCTGTTACCCCCTCATGCAGCCATCCCCCAACCCTAGCCTGTCCCTCTTATTTTTATAACAGTGGTCTTATGCAGTATTTGTCCTTTTGTGACTGAGGTATTTCACTCAGCATAACATCTTCCAGACTTATCCACGTTGTGCAGTATTTTTTGCAGTATAATTGTTTTTTATTGCTTCATAATATTCCTTGTATGAATGCACTACACAGTTTTCTATCCATTCATTTAAAAATTCAGCAGGAAAACAAATAACAAACTCTGGTGAGGATGTGGAGAGATTGGAACTCTCATACACTGCTGGTGGGAATGTAAACGTATTACTGCATGTTTATGTTCCAGTAGTTTCTTGTAATTAACTTTAACAATGTCTATATTTTTATTTTCATGTTTTTTCAGGTATAATTTATTGAATTTCCATTAGTTTTATTGTCGTTCTTTAAGATTCCATAAAAAGAATTTCTCTTCCTTCTTATTATTCTTCAAATCAGCCATCATTTTCAGTTTCTTTTTATACTACTAATTTTTGGTTGAAACTAGAACATTCGATTATTCCTATGTGTAGTCGTGAACAAGCATGTAGGTTTTGTATTTATTCTGTACAAATAACATTTTTTGAAACACTGATTTAGGTATGAAACTCACAGGCAGTAACAGCCTTACTTTTTGCTTACCACTCGCTTCTTCTCTGCATTGTGTTAATTCTCATTCATCCCAGACATAAGTGTCTATCCTTCAGACAGGTCCTGTATAGATCAGAATACCATTGTTGTGTACCATCAAGTTGGAAAAGATTCATACTCTTCCAGCAAAGTCTGTCCTTACTCCAGAGCCAGTGATCAAGCTTATACATTGATAGTATAAGCTGTTTGTCTGCCTCACCACTTCTACTTCAGTCATCCATCTATAGCACTAGGACAGGAAGGAGTAAAAACAGTATGAAATAGGAATATTCTAGTCGGCTTACTTTTCAGAGTCTCTATATGGATTAAATGGCAGATTTCTAATTGTTAGATTTCAATTAAGTTTACGTGAGAGGATTGGGAATCTTAGAACTGATCTCAAAATCATCTTTCTAGAACTCTCCAGAGTTTTATTAGAGTTTTCAAAGCTGAAGGAATGTGCCTTTTAATCAAAGGCTAAGGCCATGGTTAATTTAGGGAGCATACATTACTAGGAATGGCTGAAAGAATGGGAATGACTTGGAATAATGGATAGAAGAGTCTGAATTTTCTCTGGGATGTTTTAAAATCAGGATATGATCAAACTTGATCATGAAACGTGTTAAAATGGTAGTGGATCATACACACAATGTATACAAATTTTGTGTGCAAACCCAAGTGAGGGGGGAGATAATGGAGATATACTGGAGATAAGAAGGCCTAGACAGAGGTTGCTGAAATGAACTCAGCAGTTCTTGTTTGAAATATTCTCCTGCATCATAATGATCAAAGTAAAAATTATGAGCATTAATTATGCTGTATTTCCTAGTAGTGAGAACAGCCAATGCACTCACCCGTTAACTGGATAGTTGGGGTTCAAGTTCAACCCCAAGACTCCCTGGAAGAAAGGCCTAGTGATCTCCTGAAAAAAAATAGCCATTTAAAAACCTGTGAGCCACAATTGTGCTCTGGCTCACCTGACTCAGAACTGACTTGATGACAGAAGATTTTTAACTTGATGCTACCTAGGGTTTATGTAAAAAGCTTTCTTTCTACTTTGAAAATTTTGATAATATAGAATAAATATAATTTCTTTCTAATTGATACATTTAAAGAGAGAGAAGAAAAATGCACACAGCTGATAAAATTAAGGGTGTAATTTCCATTTCTTTATCTGCTTCCAAAGATCATGCAAATGAAGTACCATGTATCAGTGTTTTTCTTGTTGCAAATCATGTTTCAACTCCACTTTCTCTCTCACTCAGTTACCTTTGCCTCCATTTCTTCCCTTTCAGAGATAGCTGACAAGATCTACAATCTGTACAATGGGTACACAAGTGGAAAGGAGCAGCAGACTGCCTATAACACACTGATGGAGGTCTCAGCATCGATGCTGTTTAGAGTCCAGCACCACTACAACTCGCACTATGAGAAGTTTGGAGACTTTGTCTGGAGGAGTGAGGATGAGCTGGGACCCAGGTATGGGTTACAAATGATGGGTAGAAGGTTCAGCTTTCCTTTCTTGCATTTGACTTTAGTGAACGAACTTTTTTTTATAGACACAGAATGAATTTTATGAAATAAAGAATGATGGTCACAACAGTCGTTGACAGTTCTGAAGATGAGAAATGGACAAGGAGAATGAATGTATCTTAGAATTTCACCTTCTTGGGTGCCTCAAATTTTAGAGAAGTGATGTCAGTGCTTTTTTACTTCTTTTCTTTTTTTCTACCCCTAATTGTACAGATTGAGCAATTCTGTTTGCTCAAGGGTGTGTATCCTATCCAGCATTTCAGAGCAGCACTGTGGCATGACTTCTATTCCAGCAGGGCTCTTTCCACTCCTCCACTAAATCTGGGATCTTTTTCTTAAGTAAATAGCTATGACCTTGACTCAAATCCATTAGTAACCATGGCTGAATACATCTATGAATTCAACATAGATTAAGCTTCATTTTTGTCCCCAGGAGTAGCCATACCACCCTCTGTACTGGCTGCCATGCTTTCCAAGACCCCAGGGAAACCCCTATACTTTAATAAACATTATATTTAGAAGCGCTAAGAGAATTTCCATATCTAATTTAAAGAAGTTACAGTTGCTATCCTCTGATGAAATGGTGATTTCTTTCCATTTCTTGCTTGACAAATATTCATTCATTCAAGTGGCATGTACTTATTTTGTAGTATGTTTTTATGATTGTTATTGTATGCCGTGGTGTCAGAACCAATCCATAGCTGACCCTCTGGTAGAATTTCAGAGGCAGTTAATCTCATGGGAGGAGATGTTCATCCTTCTCCCACAGCAGAGCCGCTGGTGGTTTTGAACTGCAAGCCTTTGACATTGCAGTGCAGCTTCTTGCCTCTAGGCCACCAGTGCTCCTTTCTTTATAAGGTAGTTGCTGATGATACAGTTATAAAAAAATTAGAAAAGGTTTCTATTTATGCAGATATTACTGTTGACTGAATAATGGTGTTAACTAAATACACAGTTACACTGGAAATAGAGTGTTATGATAGTAGAAAGACAGATTTGGGGGAACCTGAGACTTAGGCATCCTACCTGACCTAGAGAACCTAGTGGAAGCTTCCTAAAAGTTTATATTTTAAGGCCAAAAGGCTGAGTAAGAGTTAAACACATAGAGAAGGAAGAATAGAAGTATGTTGGCGGGAGGACTAGGCTGCCAAGTGTTCAGGTAGTGACTCTTGTTACAGTGGGGTACACTCTTTTTGTGAGCATTGTTATCATTCCCCTACCATATTGGTGATCTTTGCCATATCTTCACACCTACATATCATATTGGAGCTCTGGTGCCCAGGGTCTCTGGTGATTCAAATACATCAGTGACTCTGAGGGAGAGAAATGGGCAACCTCCTCCACTGCAATTTACTGCCTGCAAAAACCCACTGGAGTTTCAGCTAAGAGTTGTTTCCAACTTGACAGCAATGAGTTCAAATTTATATATCATATAAATTCATAGGGTTTTCAAAGGCCTGTTATTTCGGAAGTGGATGGCCAAATATTATTCCTAATCTGTCTTGATTTGGATGCTCAGATTTGTAACAGTATCTTACAGACAAGTATTTTACCCCAACGTTCAGATAAAACACTCTTCCCCATTATGCTTGGACTATCAGATAGGAAGGTTGAGTCTTCATATTGGGAAACACAAAGGAGGAGGAACAGTTGTAAGCAGACACTAGTGATTGGGATGTGGAATGTGAGAATGAATGTGAAAACCGGCATTGGTAAGGAAGAAGTGGGACCCATAACTGGGGTATATGGGGGTAAGTGTGACAGAGACAATGAGATCGGTTCAGGACAGGGCAGGGTTCAGATCTGTTGTGCAGAGGGTCGTTATGAGTTGCAGTTGACAGCACAAAACAGCAACAATATCATATAAATATAAGTTCTTTATTTATGGTTTACATATTAAATTCTATTTATTTATGTCCCATTTTAAATGCTCTTTATTTCCATGATATTTACTTTTTTAAACAGAATAGGATAGAATGTCTTATTCAAAATATGTTTTGAAAGAAAGGCCTTTAAAGATACTGTATGAAAAACAATGTATACAAACTTTCTAAGTAAACCAGTATAAAATTAAAAAAAGAAATATCTCTATCATCTTATTTAGTTCTTTCTATCTTTAATTGGAATTAAACCTTCCATCCAGGTGGAGAGGGGGAAATCCAGAGAGTAATATTTTTTAAAAAAAGATTAATAAATGTTTTTAGGGAGCTCTGTTGGTCTAATGGTAAGAAGATTCTCTGCTACTCTAAAGGCAGGCTGTTCAAATCCGCTAGAGGTTCCATGAGAGATAGAATGGGCAGTTACCTCTCCAGCGCAATGTACAGCCCTTAAAATCCTGCAACAGGGTCAGCTATGAGTTGTTTCCAACTAGATGTGCATAACAACCACAAATACAAGAGAATGCTTGTACACGATACACCAAACAAGACTTTTTCTTAAATTGTGTTGAAAGAGGAAAACATGAAAAGTGAATCAAATACTTCTCTTAATGAAATTCATTGTTGTTACATGTTGGGTCCAACTTCTGTTGAGTACCACCCAAAATCTTTTCCAGTAACCCAGGGAAATTCCTACACTTCTGCGAATGCTGTGTTTGGAGAAACTGAAAGAATTTCTATGTAGTTTGAGCAAAATGCCAGACAGCAAGAGTGATAAGAGATAAGAAGAGAGAGGTCAATAAGGGCCAGATCTTGCATGCCCTTTAAGGAGAGTTAAGGAGTTTTCCTTATCTCCCCAGGGTAATGAGAAGCTTTTCAAGTATTTTTCACAGGGGTATGATATCATTAGATCTTCCTGCAAGGGAAAAAAAAAAAAACACCACACACACACACACACACACACACACACACACACACACAACCAAACAAACAAAAAAAAACCCACAAAAACCACACCTCTCTAAATGAACCCATGGGGTCAGGGCACAGAGGAGTGAAGGAGGCTCTAGAGACTGTTGTGGTCATGGTTGGATAAAATGTGTTGGCCCAAGCCAAGACAACATCCACAGTATTGTAGAAAACTGAGCAGCTTCCTGAAGCATCTATTGGATACCCTATCAATGCTTTACAGTTTCCAAATGATTCTGTAAGCAGGACAAAGGAAGGTATCCTCCCTATATTTTGGATAAGGAAATAATGGTCCTTTGGTACAAGTACTTTTCACTTGACTACTAACCTGAAAATTGGTAATTAAAAACCACCTAGTTGTTGACTTGGAAGAAAAAGTATGGTGCTCCACTTACATAAAGATTACAGCCAAGAAAAACCCTAAAGAATCCAGTTCTGCTGTATAATACATGGATGATCCATGAATCAAAATCAGCTTAAAGGAAGTGTGTTTACTGTTAAATGAACTGCATTCACAAAAATTAATTTGAGGTGGATGCTTGTTCTTTTTCTGTTCTTATCATGAATCTTTCTAACACTCCGTTACAACTCTCCAGGAATTTAAGCCATACAGGGAGCAGATTCAGAGCTCATACAAGAAATAAAAGTTCTACTGAGTCCTAGACTAAAATCTTCCTCCTCTCAGATGAAAGGAAGGGAAAGTTCTTAAGACTCTTCTGATAAAGCCTGAAAGATGACACAGGCAGAAGGACAAAGAACCTCAGATGAAAACCTCGGTGTAAGTCATCTTAACGGCTTCCTTGCCTATGGATGAGGAAAGACTTTCCATTTTACTGGACTTCCCCAAAGGGCTCAAGGACTTTGAGTAGAAGTTAATCCAGAACTCAAGTCTTGTCTTTTCTTTACAACCTAAAGGGAATTTTTATAACCCATCAGAACATATATCTTTTAAAGACCACCCAGAACGGTGGGGAAGCCAACCTAATAGTGAACTTTCTTAAGCCAGTACCCTCTGGTCAACACGTCACTAGCCCCAGTCTATCAACTTCCACTTTTTCCCACAGTCAGGCCATCTGACTCTTTCCTCTTTCCTGGTATTTCTAGCCTCTTGAAGAAGATCTCAGGTTCCTCCAACATCCTCTACTGAGATGTCTGCTGAGAACCCAGGGGGTTGCAGCACAATGGAATGACCTTGTATGATACCCATGATTGGTTGCAGATCTTACTGGTATGAACCAGAGGATTTTTCAATGACTGATTTGTAGAAGAAGCTTTTTACCAGATCTTTTCCCCTATTTTATCTTAGTCTGGAAGCTTATACTGAATCAGAATCTACATTTTAATAAGATCCCCAGGTGACTCCTACATAAGAAGACAAATAGCATTGAGAATATTGAGTACCAAGAAGTAACTATAATTTTTAAAGGATACACCTAGAATTGTATAAAAGAAAATGGAAGGATCTTATAAGAATCTGTATGTGAACAGATCATCCAGGAGGGTAGCTCTGTGAGAAGGAATGTGGCATCACCTCATCAACAACCTGTGTTATGCAGATGACATAACCTCGCTTGCTGAAACTGAGAAGGACCTGAAGCACTTGCTGCAGAAGGTCAAGAACCATAGCCTTCAATATGGATTGAAGCTCAACATCAAGAAACAAAGATTCTCACTACTGGATCAAATGGCAGCATCATGATAGATGGTAAAGAGATTGAGATAGTTTGCTTGGCTCCAAAATCAACACTCTTGGTACCAGCAGCCAGGAAATCAAAAGACTGATTGCATTGGGAAAGTCAGCAACCAGAGACATCTCCAGAATACTGAAGAGCAACAGTGTCAGTCTGGAGACTAAGATGCACCCGATCCAGGCCATGGTCTTCACAATTTCATGTTATGCATCAGAGAGCTGGACAATGACTAGGGATGATAGAAGGAGAATGAATGCCCTTGAGCTGTGGTGCTGAAGAAGAATGTTGAATATGGATTGCTAGGAGAACAAACAGGTTCATCCGAGAGAGGATGAAACCAGGGTGCTCCTTGGGGGAAAAGATTCTGAAGCTCTGGCTGACATACTTTGGGCAGGTTACAAGGAGGGAC